ATGTGCATATGGACAAACCATTTTGTTTTCTCCTTTTTCTATTTTTCTTTTTTGTTTCTTTCTTATTTGTTTTTCTTTTTCTTTTTTCTTTTTTTTTTTTTATTTTATTTTTTATTTTTTAATTTTTTTTTGTTTATATGTAGAAACAGAGTTTGTAGTTACTTTTCGTTATTTACTCTTCGTTTTTTCTTTTTTTTTTCCTTTTTTCTTTTAATTAAGTTGAAAATAAAAGTCTGTCATATTACACCATACAGAGAAAATCGATTTGATATCGTTTAGTTCTTGTCATTTACAGATACGCGTAATAGAAATAGATTCTTCTAAATTCGATTTCCGTTTTTCCAATCTGATTTCAATTCGATAAGAGAGATTACGATTGATTAATTATCGGTAATTTGACAGGAGAAATACTTTGTGAGCTTGCTGCTCATGCCAATAGCTTGAAACGTTGAAATCAATTAATGTGTATAGTTATTTACAATTTGTGACAAGATAAAATGAATATAATCAATTAATTATTTGATTTTACATATGTTTTTCAAAGTCTACGTATGTACGTCAATTTCAATCGTTGTTATTTGACTTTTAAAACGAGTTAAAGTTTTAAAATAATACTAATACGAGTATGAACAAATTCTTGTTTCTTTTTTCTTTCTTTTTTTATTTTTTTTTTGAAAAGATTTGTTAAAGATGCAAAATATTATTTCTGAAAGCTTTTTACTTAATCATAATTCTTTGTCACGTCGTTTGTACGTCATTTTGTTCGAGGCTTTTAAGAGTTTTATTTTATGCATATATCTGTATATATGTACATGCATACGTAAACATGTTCCTATATATTTGCACAAATTTTTCGATATTCATGATTAAAACTGAAACTTCGTCGTTCTTGATGTAAGATACTCTTGCAATTATACTCATCTTTTTTCTCTTTTCTTTTTTTTTGTTTTTTTTTTTTATAGTGTTTTAAGATAAATTAAGCAATAGATAAGAAGGCGATAAATTTTATAGGACAAAATCTACGTAATTTAAACAAATTATTTACGATATGTTTATCATACTTCTCTCTCTCTCTCTCTCTCTCTTTTTCTTTCTCTCTCTCTCTCTCTCTCTCTCTCTCTCTTTCTCTCTCTGTCTCTATTTATCTGTCTGTCTGTCTGTCTTTTATTCTTACTTTGAAATGATGAATTCACTTGTAAAGTCAAAATCGAATTTTTCGAAGCGATCCTTATATTTGATTTCTAGAATTTTTCTTTCTATTCTACGATTTATTGACTATACAAAATTGCACGAAGAAAGGAAGGAAGAAAGAAAGAAAGAAAAAAAGCAAATCGATCTTCGAAGTATAGATACATAATAAAATATTGATAATAGTAAAATATATGTTCTATAATTAAATAATAATATTTTCTGATCATGCTATGATATTTTTATCTCAAAGAAAGATTTGGTTTTTGTGACATGACTTTTTTTATTACAAGCTTTAAGAAGATCTTGCTTTTATGCGAGCGTTCTCTAATTTTTTCTGTAATTTTTATCAAACGAGCACGGTCGTTAAGATTCAATGTGTTCGACGGTAAAAATACTTTGAGCCGTTTTTATATTCGAGATTGAAGAGTTTCTCTCGCTTTCTCTGTCAGCTTCTCCTTCTTCTCAAACTTCCTGATATTTTTAGTATTTCATTCTTCTTCTATATACGAATATCTCATATAACTGACAAAATGCAATATGGCTACAAAAATGGGGAAGAGAGAGAGAGAGAGAGAGAAAGAGAAAGAGAGAGAGAGAGAGAGAGAGAAAGAGAAAGAGAGAGAGAGAGAGAGAGAGAGAGAGAGAAAGAGAAAGAGAGAGAGAGAGAGAGAGAACAGAAAAAGCATATATATTTTTATATAAAAATTAAATTTAGTTTTAATCGAGACGTGCTTAGTTTGATTCGTCATATAATTTAATACGAAATCGTGTCATTCTTTCGAAATAAATTAAATTCTTTTATCTTTTTCATTTCTCTTTCTCATATCTTTTTTTCTTTAATTTTATTTCCTTTTCTTCTCCAGTTTTGTTCCATCCTATTTCATTTTCTTTTTATCCGAAACGTGAATAAGCGAGCACACTAATCCCGATTCATCATAAAAGTTATTGAATTAATCTAATAAAAATAGAGAATGAAATTAGAAATTAATTTTTATGTGTAGGATATTTTAATATTCCCTTTCGCGCATTATTCGTAAAAAAAATAATCTATGGAATTCGTAATTTCAATTACAAAATCAGTATACGCTTATATTACGCATTTTCTTCTTTTGTTTACGAATACGGTCGCGTCCTGGTTCATTTTTTTATTTTCCACGCATTGAGCGTACATGAAGCCGTCTATTTTTATGTAAAGAAGGAATTAGTATTCGTGGGACATGCTTTGTTCAGTCGACAATTTCGTTCGACAATCACCTTTTCGATGTACGTATGACTCGTCATAGCGTGCTACGAATGCTGAGATTTTCTATATATATATATATATATATATATATATATACTATATATTATTATATATTAGTATATATGTACACATACACATACACACACTTAGAGAGTACATACATATATACATACAATTGTATATAGCTGTATATAAAAAATTACAGTCAATATATGAATATATGTATGTGTATATGTATGTGTACATATATAAAACATATACCACATACATATACAATATTATATGTATATATGCTGGATATAGATATTTATGTGAACCTGAGCATATATAGATAGATAAAGATATCTAATATGAGATAGACAATATCGAACAAAATCACAGCTGTGTCATTTTGAATTTTTTGATTTCACGACATCAGCTATTTCGTTCACCGTCCATAGCAATAAGGACATGCTTTTCAATCCCATCCCGTACCATCCTACATTATTTCACCAATACTCTAAAAATCGTACACGGTATGAAACCACCTCGGAATTTTTTCCACAAAGAATGTCGGAAAATTAAGCGAATATTTGAATTGTTAAAATACAGAAAAAAAAATTATGCATATACGACGTACATGTGTTGGAAGCTCGTATTGAAGTTTAAAAAAATTTCTTGTTTAATATAGTGACTAGATTGATGAGCAAAGTATATAATACTATCAATCGCGTTCTTTCTTCTGATATTTTCTTTCCTTTCCTCAGTAATTATTATAATTTTACAACTAGAATAAATAACCTGGTTATATAAATGTTTAGGAATATTTATTTTTCCTAAGAGAATTATTATCAAAGAAAGTTATGAGAATGCAATGATGCGACTACTGTCTACATATTGTAAAATTAAAATGAAACAAAAGAAGGGGAAATAAACAAAATTAAAAATTATATAATATATAATAACATAACATATTCAAATCCAATATAAATATATATATATATATATATATATATATATATATATATATATATATATAGTTTAATAACTAATATACATAATTCATCTTACTTTTATATTTTATAATGTTTCTAAATTGTAATCATTTTGAAATTTATTTCAATGATAAATTTAAGTTTCAAAAATTGTTTTTTCTTTTCTTTTTCTTTTGTCTTTTTTCTTTTTATACGATATTTCTTAAACATAGACAGAAGTCATTAACGTTCCAACAAGTCGTATAACTCATCAAGTTGAATCTAGTCTTGGCCGAGGTATATGAGTTACGAAGACAAGGAAAGCATGAGTTCCCATTATTAGTCGTTCAACGAGGGAAACTTGAGCCACCTCTCGAAGAGTGCTGAGCTTGCGCGACATTGACGAGTATGGGTTTAGTTGTGCTCATTCCCTTTCTCCGTAACCCTTCTCTCGAGACCGCATAGCCACTCCAATTGCCGTATCTTTGGCCGCAACCTGTCACTCTTAAGCTTTAGCGAATTAGCCACTCCATCGATGAACTTCCAGTGTAGTTCGCTTTGTGTATCGACCATTTCCTTCGCCTTTCTCTCATTGTTTCTCTCTCTCTCTCTCTCTCTCTCTCTCTGTCTCTTCACAGTATTAGTAGGTAAAATCGGTGTGTATAATTCCACTACCAACTTACTCTTTCAACAAAGTATTCTAACTCACTTAACGATCAGTTTTATTGGAATTTATTTTACATTTAAGCTCTTTCCGTCGGACACCTTATACCCGTAGAAATTCCCCATGAAGAAAGTTCCTATCGGTTAAGAACGTTATCCCATCGATAAAATTGCCTTTTCACTTTGCTTTAAGAACATTATTCGAAGCTGTTATTGTTGTTATTTTCTTGTAGGCTCTTTAAAATGGTGTCAAGCGTAAGGGGAAAAAAAGAGATAAAGAAAAGAAAGAAGAAGATTATAACGAGTTATTATAACGTGTTATAAATGAAATAGAATGATTCTATTTTATTCGACGATTTCAATGGGATTAAATTTTCCTTCTTGAAAATTATATTATACGAGAATATAATACTATAAAGATATATAGTGACGAGCAAAAATGTAAATATACATCTAATTGATCTTAAAAGAAAAAAAAAAAAAAAAAAAAAGAAAAAGAAAAACAATAATATCAGTAATTGTTCGATTGACCGATAAGGATCAATTATATAATTACAAATGTAACTGTTCAATTTCATTTTACGTTAATAATACTCGAAATATTTCACAAAAAAAAGAAAGAGAAAAAAAATAGGGACTTGAAAAAAAACCATGTATACATTTTTCTCACATTTTCTCAAAAAACGAATGATATTGTTAACAAATAAACGATGGAGAATACTGCGAGTTAATCGATTATTAATTCGGATTAAAATTTCAACTGAATATATTGCTCCTCGCTCCAAATATAATGAACCTAATGATATACCTTGATACACAGTTACGATCTAATAAGCTTTTCGAAAGAACCACTAGACGAAAATGTATACTTGAAATAAGTATATATATATATATATATATATATATATATATATATATATATATGTATATTCGATACTAAACGTATTTTCCTCGAAAGATAACTACCGCGAACGTTTCATGAAGAAGTATGTAGGAGGTATTGAGATCACTTGGAGGGAAGCTCGTTTAAAATTTCATTTCGATAAGAGAGGAAAGAGTGAGATGGGAAGAGGAGCAGGGAGTGAGATAGAGGGGGAAAAGAAAAAAAAAATAGTGGTTCGTTGTCGAATAGATACCCATGGAGAGTTTTTAAAAGTGACACACACAGACACACACACACACACATACATACGCATGCACAAGAGGAATAGAGCTTAAACGATGCGGCGAAGTGTTCGTGATTCTCGAATCGGCATAAAAGTCAGTGCTGGCGATAGTGCTAGCCATTAGGCGTTCTCGTCGTTCGAATGCAACATCTTCGATCGTGCGAATGTCGATAATGTCCTATGAGCATTTTCCAATTTCCCGCGTGTCTCGCATTCAGAGAACGCGTTATCAGTTATTCGATTTCTCCATGGTTTTCGATTTTCGATGTTGAGACTATGTGAGAGAATAGAGAGAAAAAGAGAGAGAGAGAGAAAGAGAGAGTGAGAGAGAGAGAGAGAAAGAGAGAGAGAGAGAGAATGATGAGAAGAGAAGAGAGAGTAATCATAATAAATACTCGTGAAAACAAGCGAGGCCCAAAAAAAGGAAAAAAAGTCGGAAGAAAATAAAGTAAAAAGAAAGAAAGAGAAAGGGAAAGAGAGTACTCGACCTCGATAAATTATCCGTTTCTGACCTCACTTTTACCATCCTCTTCACCCTTCCAGTCTTCCTCATTTTAGCTCTCTTACTTCGTCCTATGGAATCGGCCATTTGTCAGTGTCCTCCTGCTATCCTCGCGCAGCCGGTTTAAGCCTGTAAAACGAGACAAACTGAAATCGACCATTTATTATGCGACAGCTGCATTCAGCTTTGTGGCTCATGAGAGAGAGAGAGAGAGAGAGAGAGAGAGAGAGAGAGAGAGAGAGAGAGAGAGAGAGAGAGAGAATGGGGGAGGGGAATAACAAATAGGATTGCTTTCATTATCGATGAAATGAGAACAGAAGATGGTTATAATTTCTAAACGAACATAATTAAATTTATATGTTAAGAAAAATTTCTCAAAACTTATGATAATTATATTTCTATTATATTCTATATGTAAGAAAGATAAAAGGAATTTTATTAAATTCTTTAAAGATGTGTATTATTGTATAAAGATTTTGAGAGATTATTTAAAAAAAAAAAAAAAAAAAAAAAAAAAAGAGAAAAGTAAGATTTATCTTAAATACCATCTGTTGCATGCATCTATTAGTATGGGAATTATATATGTATATATATATATATTTTTTTCTTTTTTTTTCTTTTTTTTTTTTTTTTTTTTTTTTTTTTTTTTTTTGAGATTAAAATATTACCCTTAAGTATCTTTTTAAAATACAGAAGAAGATCTCGCTATAATAGAGCGAATGCATGTAACGTACGTAAGTACATACGTATGTTAGGAGAAATAAGTAGTTAGTCGTATATGTGGAGGTCGAAGGATAGAAGAGGTAGGGCTCGTTAAATCCTACTCATCGTTGCAACTCGCGATTCCACGATAGGAACTCCTCCTCTACGAGCGTTGAGCCATTATCCGCCGAATAAATTACAGCCAGCTAAGTTTGCAGAGAGCTTTTGCGCTGCCAACGTGGGCGAAGTCGAAGGAGCACCAACGATAGAGAGAGGAAAAGAGAAAGAGAAAGAGAAAGAGAAAGAGAAGGAGAGAGAGAGAGAGAGAAAGAGAGAGAAAGAGAGAGAAAGAGAGAGATACAGAATGTGCAGTCTTAACGTTTGAACTAAACTTTCAACAATTATACCACTATGAGACTCTCGCAAACGTATTACTTGCAAGGATTCACTCTCGAACGTAGCTAGCCGTTCGAGTTAATACGATCGAGAGATCGTTGTATTCTTCTTTTTGGTACCTCGATTTGCTTTTAGGCTTCGAAAGGTATAGAATGGGTTAGCGAATGGACATTGTTAGTTTCAATCTCTTTGTTATATATATATATATATATATATATATATATATATATATATATATATATATCTACTTATGTTCCTTTTATCAGTAACTTTTATTTTCGTTCGTGAATAGTAATATCGGAAAATTTTATATCTTAAATTTCTGAAAAAAAAAAGAAACGATTATCTCGAAATATAGAAATGATTATCATTTGAAATATTCCATACATTCCTAAAGATTCGATGTCGTATTTAATTACGATAATAGTTCGATTCTTTGTCATCGAATTAATCGAATCGATGGACTCTCTCTTTATCTCTCTCTCTTTGTCTGTCTGTCTGTCTGTCTATATATCTGTCTATTGTCTTTGTCTATCCGTCTGTCTGTCTATATATCTGTCTCTTTATATGTCTGTCCGTCTTTGTGAAATATCGGAAAAAAAAAACGAAAGATAATATATCAAAGATAAGTCGGGTTAGTCTTTCGATTCTTGATGAACTCTCGCGTATTATTCGACAAATGGCAAGTATTCCTTGGCGCCACGGGCTCGTTTCGACCTTCTCTTGGGAAATCGTGCGAAGAACGAAAACTAGCGCAAGGTTGTTCCTATGCTACATAGTCTACTGGAACATTATCGCCATGTAACCATAGTTCTCTTAGAACCAAGGAAGGTACTGAAAAAAGGAGAAGTGAGAAGAGTAAGTAGGAAAGAAAGATTGAGAGAGAGAGAGAGAGAGAGAGAGAGAGAGAGATGGTCGCTCGAAGGTAGAACTCAATTAATGATGTCGTCTAATCGTCTCCTCGAGCAGAATCCAGTTCACCTAGGCGACCATCGCGATTTTCTAGTCCAAAGGGAGCTCTCCGATAGTTCGCACGTGAGTCGTTAACTGCTGGATGATACGCCTAGAGTCGTGACTCTTCGTCTACTAAGCCCCTCGTCTCTCTCTCTCTCTCTCTCTCTCCCCCTTTCTCTTTTATTCTTTCTCTTTCTCTCTCTTTTTCTGTCCCTACTTCAGATCTCTTTACTCGCTCATACCTTTTATCATCTACCTTTTTATTTAAAAAGTGCTCTTCAATTTTTTTTCCTTCTTTTCTTTTTCTTTTTTTTTTTTCTTTTACACGTCGTCTCTCTTAAAAAGCATCAACTTATTTTCTTTTTCCTTCCCCCCAAGGTAAAATAATCATTTTCTAATGACATCAAATTTTCTATGGCAATCAGAAGGAGATAGTATAAGACCGACTGCTGACTCGATTAGATCATTCGTTTTTTTTTATCATTACGTTCAACGTGTAAAAACGGTGATTTATTATCTTTCAGGACGAATCCACGATTTATTCTTTCGGCGATTCAAACGACTTGGATTATGGGTTTCATTTTTTGTTTCTTTTTTTTTTTTTTCTTTCGATCGATTCGAAGTTCGATTCATGTTTTTAATGATTCACACAAAAATATCCCACCTACTAAGAATATATTCTTTATTCGCTCGATATTTTTCATTCGTTTTAATATTTCATGTTTGACAGTTATATAAGTCCATAATCGATCATAGATCGTTAGCTGAATCATGTAAGAGACGGAGAAAGAGAGAGGGATGAAGAGAGAGAGAGAGAGGGAAAGAGAAAGAGTAAAAACGATGAAACTTTTACACATTGTGTTCTACGAAAAGAATGAAAATATTTAGATAAAAAAAATCTAAAACTTGTTATTCAGTCTTTTATATTTTTACGATTATAAATCCATTTTGAAGAATGAAGAAAAATGATGGATAGTAATAGAAGCAGATAGAAAAACGGTATGATAGCGAATAAGAACAGCCGTTAAATCTATTTTCAATATCTTTCGTTTTGTCGTTTCTAAAATCTTTAAGAATGTGATTATTATCATTGAATCGATGTGAAATCGTATTTTCTTCTTTCATCAAAGGGATCACAAAACGCGAAGTCATGAAAATAGACATTTAAGAAAGGGTACCCTTATAAAATATTTCAAGTATTTTCAACTATATTATCAATTTCTATTTTCTTGATCGAAATAAACGATGATTTTCCTGACTTCAAAATTACTCTCAAAAGTTCCTTAAAGTTGTGCGAACTATTCGTATAACTTAAAATTATGAAGTTTGAATGTTCGTATTATTTTCTAAATTATCTTTAAATTTCATAACAACTCAGAACTATGAATGAATAAATTAACTATAAGATTTATATAAGAATGTTTTTTTTTTCCTTTTATTTTAAATTTATAATAATTACAATTATTATAAGTTTTATAATAGTCACAAATGAAGTGTCAAAAAACGTCGTATGAAATATCAAAAATATGAAATGTCGCGTTACTCGACATAAATCTTGATTTATTAATGAAATGAGATAATGAAGGAGAAAACGTTATCATAAAACAAAGCTAATATCTCCGATAGATATTAAAAAATAGATTAAAATCCCTAGTTGTAGAATTAAAGAAAAAATTAACGAATAAGAAAGTAAATAAATAATGATACGCTTGTACTTACATCTAACACTTAACCCCCCGAAAACTGTCAAGAGATATATTTACATTACTATTAATTCGAAAGTATCTTATTTCAAAAAGCTGATCTCAAATATTTGGAATACGATCTCGTTATATGAATTCGTCAATAGAGAAGAGCGAATGGTTGAAATGAGGGATTACCTCTAACGCGTTTGATGGCTAAACATGAACTACCAGCATGACTTCATCCGAGGTAATAATAGCAAGAAAATAAATATTGACGGACGAAAGAGAGAGAGAGAGAGAGAGAGAGAGAGAGAGAGAGAGAGAAAACAGCATCGATTGGAATCGGCTAATAAAGTAAAAGAAATAACGAAACGCGAAGGAAACAAATTGGAGACACCAATAACAATAACAAGAAGGTCGTTTCGCGATTATATTGTGTGATATTGAAAGTCAATATATGGCCAGAATAACGTGAACGTAGAAGATAATACGTAATAAAGAAATGAAATTTTCTCTTGAATACAATGACACGAAAGAGGAATAATATAAAGATAGAGGAAAGAAACAAAGAGGAAACATAAATATAAAAAGTGTTCGCTCAGGATTATGATGAAATCTAGTGGGTTTTCTTCCTTTTTTTTTTTTTTTTTTTCGGTAAATCCCAAAACAAAGATTTTTTTCTTCTTTTATTTCGATTTTGCGTCCAATAATTCCCCATATAAAATAGATTTAGAATTTCAAATTGAAAAAAATTTTTATTTTATTAAATATTCAAAATGCGCATTGCAGATTTCCACGTATTAATAAAGATTTTGACGAGTGTTACGTCGAACATTTTGCAATTCAGTTTAATTCGACGAATGTGCGATCTGTTATATTGAATAACAAAATTATTTGTCCATTATTTTTATTAAATAATTTAACTCTAAGAATCGTAAAGGATTCGCTTGAGAGTTAGATTTATTATTCATTGATCGTATAAATCATTAAAAATGACTTTAATATGCTTTTTTTTGTTTTGTTTTGTTTTCTTTTTTCTTTTTTTTCAACACGACGAAACTCCAATATAGAAATTCATAAACCAACATTTTTCTGATCGTTCAAAAGCTTTGATTTTTTTTCTATGGAAATATTTAAATTCTAGTATATATGCCATCCAAACGCCTTCAATAGAAAAGCTTTAGCAACGTTTTCTGTCATTTTACATCGGATGTAATGCAAAATGTTCGACGTACTTTTTGAATATTTAATAAAATAAACATTGTTTTTAATCTGAAATTCGAAATGTATTTTCTCAAAAATTATTGATTCAAAATTATAAAAATAGCGTCATTGAAAAATGAATTAAATGGCCTTTAAAATGATATGCCCTTTGAATTCTTGTTGTCATTTAAAATTTTTTAAAGGAGTTGCTCAAATCTTACCTATTTTAGGAGGTTATTCCAAAAAGAGTGAATTTATGATAAAGGTCCCTACTCGAAAACAAAATTGACGTGCATCGCCGTTTTTCGAAAAAATTATTAAATTTCATAATAATTCTGTAGTTCGTTTTTCATTGAAAATATGTATATGTATATATTATATATTAATAATTATGTATATGTGTATATGTATATATTAAAAAAAAATATATACATATATATATTTTTTTTATAAGAGAGTAGAAAATATCGCAATGTAAAATATAAACTTTTCTGGAAAGATCAATTTTGTTGGAGAGACGACAATCGTCGAAGCGTCGAAGGTTAATTAAAATTCTTCGGAAATGCGGATCAAAATGATGAGTCGGTCATGCGTTCATAAAAACATACTTGCTTCGATCGAATATATCTGAATTTGTACGAATATACATATATGTACATACATTTAATAATAACATAATACATACATACTATATATATATATATATATATATATATATATATGTATGTATATGTGTATGTATATATGTGTTGTCAACCAATAGTACTAAATATTCGTATTTGTAGTTGACAAGAGTAAAAGCAAATATCTCTGTTGGTTTCTCTTCGTATCTCTCGAAAATATCTATATATACATATATATATATGTGTGTGTGTGTGTGTGTGTGTGTGTGTGTGTGTGTGTGTGTACATATAGTGCTATGTAACTAGAAATCAATATTTCGTATTTCCAGTTTATTAATTACCTCGTTCCAGTTATGTTCATAATCATGATTAATAAAAATATAGTAACATCGTATAAAAATCCATTGGACATACATATGAATATATAAAATATATGTATATACATAAAATATACATATTTCGTAATTGCATTTCCTTCATTTATATATTCATCGAAAACATGTGGATTATAAGATATATATTTACATTAACGTTGAATTTTCTTTTTCTTTTGTTTCTTTTTTTCTTTTATTTATTCACGAGATATCAACAATTTGAAGTTTATCTATCGTTCGAACTAATTTATTTTTTTTCTTCACTGAAAGTCAATGCTACTTCATTGAAATCAAACGAGAGAGAGCAAGCGAAGAAAGTTGAAAAAAAAAGAAAAAGAACAAATAGTTTGAAAGGATGGCCAGGCGTCGAGTTTGATCATCTGGAGAAATATTTCTATAGTGAATTTCTACGGTCATTTTGAGGATTACTCGAGCAGAGGGATTAACCGAATATTTTTCTTTTCTTCTCTTTTTTTTTCTTTCCTCTTTTTTCTTTCCTTTGTCTCTTTTATTTTCCTTCTTTTCTTTTTCTTTCGAATTATTAATAATACAACGAAGGAAAGAAAAGATAAGGAGTAGATACCTCGTGGTCAACAGCAGCAACGTGAATTATAAACACGTTCTGCGTTAATATTTATTCATTTTCGTTAAGATAGAGTAAACAGGAGAGAGCAGAAATAATTTTTTAGCAATCATTAAAAAAAAAAAAAAAAAAAGAAAAAAACAACAAAAAATTAATTTCTTGGAATTATTCAACCGAAAGATTATAATTTAATAACAGGAAAAGTATTTACTTCGTAAGAATAATTTTCTTTTGATTTCTTTACGAAACAATTTTATTTCTTTCTCTGTTTCTCTCTCTCTCTCTTTCTCTCTTTCCATCTCCCTCTCTTTTCGTACACTTGAATTTCACGATGTAAAATATTTTTGTCAAAAGGTGCACGTTTTTAAATAAGATTTTTAATCGATCAAAGGCCGATATCGTTTGCATTATACAATTCTTTGCAATTTTAAATGTTAAAAGGAAAAATATTCGAGAATATCTAAAAATTCGAATAGATAGGGAACAAACGTGAAAAAAGCATTACGTTTTATAACGAATTTAATATTCTTTCATATTAAAAGAAAAACGGATAATGATATTGTTATCAGAATACTTAGTTAACGGAATGGAACAGTAAAGGGAAGGACATATAATAATAAGTTAATAGAAAGTACTTACATGAAAGTATTTTTATTTCCTAGCAATGCTTCGCAATTGTATGATACTTCCCTGCGTTTAACCGTATGACATTTTCTGAAAAGTATACAAAAATATACTTGGGGAAAAAAAAAAAAAGAAAAAAATAAGGAAAGAAAAGAAAAAAAGAAAAAGGAAAAAAGGAATTAATCAGACTGAAACTCTCATAATAATGAAAATATAAATGTTAAAAACGAAATGGATATTTTATTATCAAGAACGAAGAGAAATGGTGGTTATTTCGGAAAGGATGAAAAGTTCGTATTAATTGCGAGAGAAGCTTTTTAAATAATTCTTGGTTGATAATAAAAACGATTCGATGATATTTCGAATTACAATGAATGAATCAATATGTTCGATCAATATATATATATATATATATATATATATATATATATATATATATTCTATGATTAATTTGCTAACTTTTCTTGCTTTTTGTAAAAATCGGTAGAAAATATGTATTGACTGAGCATGCTCAATTCGTATGAATTAACTCTAACAATAAAGTCGAATATTTCGTAACGAAGAGAATGAGTTATTTCTCGTTGTGTAAAATATCAGGATAGAAAGAGTCCGATAAAGTAGATTGTTCCGAGAAACTTGGTACAAACAAGGTTGAAAGGAAAGAGAAGAAAGAGAGAAAGAGAATAAGTGATAGAGCGAGAGAAATGAAAAGAAGATAGAGACAAGGATAAGGACGAAGAAATAAAGAGGCAAACGTCACGAAGAAAATCCGCAGTATTTTTCTGTCCAAATGCATTATCGATAAATCCTATTGGTAAAAATTGAATCGAACGACTTGATTATCACGAAGCACACGGCATGAAGTTTGTGGCTGCGATTCGAGTCCATCTTTTCTTTTTCTCTCTCTTTCTCTCTCTCTCTCTCTCTCTCGCTCTCTCTTTCTCTTTATATATAGATATATACGTGTATGTGTTTGCACGCGAATGTATGTATAGAACGTCGAGATATATGGCGCACCGGGGACGGATTCCGCAGCGCGCCGAAATTGCGGTTCCGGACAGAGAAGCAAATGAACCAGGGGGCTTCGACGTTTTATTTGCGACTCTCGCGCAAAGAGAAACGCATGAGAGGAGAGGGAGAGCTCCGGAACATTCTACACTCTTTCTCTATCTCTTTCTCTTTATCTTTCTATTTCTATCCTTCTCTAGCTTTCTACTCTCATTTCTATGTTGTGGTGGCATTCGAAGCACACGCCGTTCATTTCCCGAATAGCTCTATTCCCTGAAAGCGATTCGAACTTCAACGGAGATTCGACTAACTATACAAGTTTAGAGATAGTGGTGAAATTTGTAATAAAAAAGAAAAAAAAATTTTATATATATATATATATATATATATATATATATATATAAAACATGATTTCCTAGACGTATAAAAGACGAGAGTTTGTGGTTAAATTTGATTATAGTCGTTAATTGATTGATCGATGTTAGCGTTTTGGTCATGTCAGATTTCAAATAAAATAACGAGACTAAAGTTAAAATCAATTACTTTTATCTCTTCGAACACGTTGACCATTGTGTTTCCTCCTCTTTCCCTTCCCCGGAAACCATCAGATTCACCATCCGTAGGAAGGAACATCGTTATATTAATAAGTTTTGATTCTCTTTTTTTTTCCTTTTTATTTTCTTTTTTCTGTTTTTTTTTTTTTCTTTTTTTTTTTTATGTGTCATTTACAAACGAGCACACATCCTATGCACCGAATTTCAAACATTTAAACGAAATCAGAAAATTTTGCTCTCGTTCGTCCTCGACGAATACGAAGCTTTAAATATATTTTTTAAACAATCGCATCGTTACGGCCACGTGACACTCAACACTTCACAGTGTATAACAAAACCTTTGAACGATAACAAATAGAAATCAATGTCCACTCAATATTGAACGTTACCGGTCGAGTGTCGTACGAATGAGTACCTCTTTCACCTAGAGCTATAAAATAGCAAGAAATAACTTGAAACATACGACATGTTATATGCTATATATATATATATATATATATATATATATATATATATATATATATATATAGCATATAACATCGTTATATATATATATATATATATATAGCTATATATATATATCGCATTGGTACGTTTGAGTTGCGTCATATAATGACATTCTTTATAAGAGCTCTCTTCGTTAGCGTCTCATCATCAAAGATAAAATACGTGGAACCCCATCCACATTGAATTCACGTTTATGTCCTGCCAAGTCGAACACCTCGTATCTCTTTATCATTCTCTTTCTCTTTCTCTTTCTCTTTCACTTCCTTTATCTCTTTATTCCCGACTCTGTGAGAGTTTCAACCTCTGAAAGTTCTACCATGTAAAAAGAAAGGAATATTTCATTGTATTTTTCCATGACATTAGCAGAAATTCGATATAAACTCTTTATATTATATCCTCTTTTCCTTTATCCTTAATCTTTCTTTCTTTTTTTTTCTTTTTTTTTTTTTTCATTTTTCCTTTCTCCTTTTCTTTCCTTTCCTTTCTTTTCCTTTTTTTTTCGTCTTTTTTTCTTCTTCTCTTTTTTTAAATCAAAGAAAGGAAAAAAGAAAATCGATCGCACGTAATCGAATTGGAAATCTCGTGAACTCTCGTTAAGCAAAAGTCAATTTTTTTTTTTTCAATCTTTTCCTATTCGATTCGAATACGAGAATACAATTCTAGTGAATAAATTGGTTCGTAGTTATTTGTTAATAGTTTAAAAATGAACAAAGGAAGATAAATGATACGTTACGTACATTTGTATGAGATATCTTCTCATATATTTGTGATACGTTTTTACTTATAATTTATATATATATATATATATATATATATATATATATATACTTTTTTTTTCATTTTCTTTTTCTTTTCTTTTTTACACTGGAATAATTCCATTTTACGAAATTTCTTTAACAAAACGTTTCTTGGGATAACATTGTTAACTAAAACTTTACTTTTGAAGAGTTTATAAATTAAGTGAAATAAGGATAGAAAATAGAAAATCATTGTGACTTTCAAACTGAAGATCCTTATAGAAAGAAAAACCGATCCAGTCGTGGTGCATGAATTTCAAAATGAAATAAGATAGTGTACAAAGATCAACGAATAATAAAAAAACACAATTGACAAAACGATGCAATGAATGCATCGAGTATAAGTTCCTTTACAAATAGCGACTATCATTTTGTAAAAAATAAATATACTTAAAGTATTCTCTTATAATATTTAATCAAAATTTTTCGATTATTTCAAGTTAACAACTAATCATATTCTATAAGGCAAAGTAAAATAAATATATAATTTAAACAATTTTTCATTGGTTGATAGTATCTGTAAATATGTATAAGTTGATTAAAACTTTCCTTTAATATTAAAATCTTTACATTTACATTTTGTCGAATATAATATTTATTGTAATTAATGAAATTTAAATAAAAAGTCAAATGAAAATTTAATTTAAACAATCCTTTATTAATCTATAATAGCTACAAATATGTGAAAGTTAATTAAAACGATGCCTTCAAATTAAAATCTGATTACATTTTGTTGAATATAATATTTATTATAATTAACTAAATTTGAAAAAAAAAGCCGAACGAAAATTGGATTTAAATAATTCTTCATTGATCAATAATATTTACAAATACATGAAAGTTGATTAAAAGGATGTTTTTTAATTTACTTAGTGCGATTTACAATGTTCCTCACAATTATTATTCATTTCGTGATTTTTAAAAAAGCTCTATTTTTACGATTCTAATAGCAATTAATTTTATAGAAAAGAAAAGATAAAAGGAAAGTAATATATATATATATATATATATATATATATATATATATATTTTTATATATATCTATGTGTACATTACTTATGAAAGATAAAATTCTAAATTAAATTTAATGTAATTTAATTTTAAAGAGAAAAGAAAAAAGAGAAAAGAAAATGAAAAATTCTCGATCTTAATCTAAACAAATTATCCTTTTCACGTAACGCGTGGCGAATGGAAAACTTGGCATACTTTCCAATATGATTATTTAAGCCCTATGTAGACCTTTTTATTCGGTCTAGTTTTAGTGATTCCCACAATTGCTTATGAGTTTCATGTTTATGAGTTCAATAGAAATTAATTTTATAGAAATATAAAATATATTATTTATAACGAAATTTAATTTAACTATGAAAATGAAAAAAAAAAAGAAAAATGGAAATTCTATGATTTGACCTTAATAAGATAAAAATTTTTAAATCGTATAAGATTAATATTCAAAATAATAGAACATCTCGTACGCGTGACAATGTAATAGACGAAAATGGAATATTATGTCGTTTCAATTTTTCAAATCTACCCTTACACTCACCATCGTAAAAGCATTCTGAGTGGGAACATGGTAAAGTACGTATGACTAAGAGCCATTTTCGGAAGGTTCGAATATACTGCAGAACCTTCGAAAATAACTCATAGTCGTCTATAACTGTGATGCTCTTCAGCCACAGTTTGTGAGAGTCTCTTCGGCATATAGCCTCTTATTTGTTACGTGCTCTAACCATTGCTATAAACTATTTCAAGAAAGAAAAAAGTCTTTATTTAAGAAAATGTAATAACGATATTATTTAGTAACGAGTAAATGGACGAACAATTCGAATAACTTATTTACTTTGTTCTAAAATATAAAAGAAGTAAACAATGACGAGACTAATACACATGCAAAGAAAATAATCTGAATTATCTCCATAGAAAATGATGCCTAACTTTTGATCGAAATAAAATCTAATCGATTTCAAATTATTACAAGTTTCTTTGAATCGTGATACATTAAAAAGTTATAGTACTGTGAAAAATTAAATTGAAGAAGTAAAAAATAATCATCGAGTTAAACGATAACACTTTTTAATGGGAAGTATAACTTGTATTTTGATCGAAAACTATTAGCTAAAATTAAATTTCATAGATCCATTGAGAAAAATATATTATTCGCTTGTCTGTCTATAATCTAAATTCAGAAAATATCAAATCATATATTGCAACACACACATATTTATACATCCATGTCTCATGATTATTTCACATATCACCAGGATGCAAATATCTACATTAAAGGATATGCCTTAGAACATTTCCGACACTCTTACTCAACTATGCTTCTCATTTATATATTAGGTATACGTATCACTTCGTTGTATTAGATTGCCACGTAATATGTATTCATACTCATATGAGTAATATATCAGTATTTTATTATTTTCATATCAAACGTGATGGCACATTACTATGCAACTCGAGAAAATTATTATGCCGTTGTAAATATCTATATATTAGAAAATGATGAAACCTTAGAAGAAAATGCGAAGAAATGCGATAGGCAGGAGATACGAGAATTAAAATATTAAATGTTGAAAATCCTAATTTCAAAATAATTAGCTTTAATAAGTCAATTATCTATTTAATAATAGATCTACGAACTATGACTTTACAAGTATTTTTGTTTCTTTTCTTTTTTCTTTTCTTTGAAAATTGATTACATATTCAATTAATTTTTATCTTTAAATATAATGAAAAAAAAAAAAAGAAAAAAAAAGAAGAAAAATCCTTTGGACGTTTCTTCGTATAAGCAATTATTATAATTACACAAGAAAATCATGGAATCTTGCTTCTAATCCAAGAATTATCCGTTGCGAATTTCCTTTTGATTATTATTTATTAAAAATTGTAAATATCCATCGATACTATCACGATGTATACACGTATAATTATTTCGTTACGAATTTACGACAAATAGCATTTATCTTATATCAGATGGCATTTTGACGAATTCTTCATTACTTTCTCATGGTAAAAAATATAAAACAATCCAATGAAATATCCAAAGTCGCAAGTAATTATAAATGCGTGCGAAACAACAAGACTCTTTTTATCCTAATCTACTAAATATGTAAATAAATTCACGTAAAATAAATCAATGAATAACGAAACAATTGCGAATAAATCTCTGAAGAAAAATTACTCGTGGTTGTTCGCTCAATGTTCTTTTACTAATTAATTAGAACCAAATCAACCGTGCCGTTTCGACCTTTCGAACCTTTTGTCCTTGACATTTTGATCGAGTGATCGGAGAGACTTAGAACTTCACTCATCACTTAGAAAAGTTCTGCGATGGCTCGAAATACATCTATTTCACAGCATACAATAGTCACGCGATCGCAGACTTTCTCGGTTCTTTTTTTTTTTTTTGTTTTTTTTTTTTTTGTTTTTTAAGAACTTCCGTCGAAGAGCTCTCTTTTCTCCTTCTTCGAAAAGGAAGTAAAATCGTTGTCATATAAAAAAAAAAAAAAAGAATGAGACAAGATAAGTTACCGCGATCGAAATTTTTATATACGATAAACAACACCGATCCCAATTATTTTGCTATTTTTCTTTTTGAATTTGAACGATAAAAATCACAATCTCATCATTGCAAGAACGCAATGGTGTTTTGAAACGAAAAAAAAAGAAAGTAAAATAAAAAGAAAATTATTAGCATCATTGTTGCAATAAAAATCGTTACAATTATTAGTGAATATACTTAATACAAAAATTTATTTACCTTTAAGTCTTCGTTGTCATTTGATGTATGTCGTGCTCTAGAATGATTAAGTATCTCTGACGAAAATAAAAAAACTATACATGAGTTTCTTATTTCGATCGAAAATAACCCTACTTCGCGATTCTATATACTATTATTTATATGTCAATTAATTATATTCCATGTAAATCGTACTTCATTTAAATAATTATTGAATAGTTGAACGTATAAATGATTTATGTTTGGTCGTACGGAAAGAGAGAATTGGGATGTTTATTCGTTGGAATATGAAAAAATACTGACTCGAAAAATATCAAGATTGGTCGAGAATACGTGTTTGTTGACATTGTAGGAAAATCGAGATTTAAGTGTATTTAAATATTCTATTGAAATTATTTTATATTTAACGTTTATTACGAGGAATCTAATGTTTAAACATACGTACTATTATTTAAATTTTAGATTAAAATTTTAGATTGCCATGTACATCGTACATTATTTAAATACTTAAAAAATAATCGGAAATATAAATCGTATAAATTTAATCGTACGAAAAGAGAGAATTGCGATGTTTACTCGTCGGAGTACGAAATAATACTGATTCGATAGCTATCAAGGTCGGTCGAGAATACGTTTTTGTTGACATAGTAGACAAGTAACGAGTCGGAGTACGAGATTTAAGTGTATTTAAATGTTCTATTGAAATTATTTTATATTTAACGTCTATTCGGTATCTAAAATTTAAACAAATATTATTGTTAAAGTATTAGTTAAATATACTCGAATTATATCATACATCGTTCAAATGAATAATAATCGAAAGTATAAATTCATATAGCACATTTATTCGTTGAATCTTCATCTTTATTCATCAAAATCGGTCAAGCATTATACCTAGTTTCATTCCTACATTATTATTTTTATAAACCATTATAAACTCGGGGATGATGAACATTTTTAAAAGTAAAAATTTGAACAAAAAACAAAGAGAAAAGAAAAAAATAAATATATATATATATATATATAAAAGTGGATAAATAAGTTTGTTCATCATAGTTATTATCACGCAATATATTTCTATTAGAATGATAAATGAATTATTAAACACTTGTAAAATCGCAGCGTCGTGTAATGTTCTTAACCGAACGATAATTAGCACCGTTCGAAACCAATCGAGTTATCGTACTGACTGGGTGCTAATTTCTATGCTGATTAAACAGCATTAATTAGGCCGTTGATAATGAGCAGCGGTTGGTGATCGCGTTACAATTTTTGTCGGTTTAACGCAATTGCTAAGCTACGAACGATTCGTTCTGGTCGTTCTCTCATATCTTCTCAAACAAATTGTTTGGACACGGCTAACGAGCTTCACCATGAGTCCGTTGGTTATCGATATTCGAGAGTGTAAATGCGACGTGATTATTGGATTAAGCTTCTCTGTATTTAATTTCAATCTATTTGAAAAAAAAAAAAAAAAAGATATATATATATATATATTTTTTTTTTTCGAAGCAATTTCGTACAGAAAACAGACAACTTTCTAACTAATTAATTCTATCATTTAATTTCTCAGCCTTCACATTCAATTATGTATACGACGATATTCGTGAATAATCATTGGATAATTATTTGAACATTTTATTATTTATAACATTTGATTACTTTTTAATATAATATGTTTTCTCTGTTATCTTTCAATATAGCATATAAATTATTCTCTCATTTATTTTTATTTAATTATATATAAAATTATTTCGCGTATATATACTTGTATGATTTCTTCCTACGTAATTTATCATATTTAAATACAAAATTCAACGTTATTAACTTTCTTTTCCGGCATTTTCATTGTTTTTATATTATTTTCTTTCTTTCTCTCTCTCTCTCTCTCTCTCTCTCTCTCTCTCTCTCTCTCTCTTTTTATCTCGTTGGAAAACTAAAATTATAAGATATTGCTCTCTAAAGGATGATTCTATATCTAAAATGTAGAATTTCCGAGGTATTTTCCGTTGTTAAAATCGATAAGAGATCTGAGACTTTTCGTTTGTTTAAAAGCTTTTACAAATAATAGTCTTGATATTTGTTCTTGAAAGGTTTTTTGTCGTATCAAGAAGATAGAAAAGATATGCATTGCGTATCAGGTATTCTTAAGATATCTACTATACACATCGATGCGTTTCACATTTGTCAACATGTGAAATACACAGGCATCGTACATTTATATGACTGTCGGAGAATGATCGATGTACGAATAAAATATTTATTATTGGTGAGAACCAATATGAGAGAAAGAGAGAGAGAGAGAGAGAGAGAGAGAAGGGCTTGTATATTTTACAATCCTTTCTTTTTACTATATTTCTTTTGATATTCTTTATGCTCAACCAAACAATCGATCTTTCTTGCTTATTTTACATTAGATAAAAAAATAAATGCTTTTTCTTTTTTACATATAAAAAAATATGCAAATTATTAAGTAATACTGTTATGTTTACAATTCTCTTATATGAAACAAATCTCTTATATGGAAAATAATTTGTAATATTGAAACTAATAAATATTAAAAATAATATTATAAATAATATTAAAAATATTAAATATGAAAAGAAATATTAAAAATAATATTATAAATAATATTAAAAACATTAAATATGAAAAGAAATATTAAAAATAATATTATAATTAATATTAAGAATATTAAATATAAAAAAAAAAAAAATATTAAAAATAAATATCGACATTATTTTTATAAAATAAACGACGACGAACTATGAAAAAAGAATCATGAATAATTCCTTAACAATTAAGTCTATGTATCGTTACAATAATTGTATAGCTTTTTTTTGTGGTTTTAGGCGGATAAGAGACATTCGAGGAATATAAATATCGATCGCAAAGTCGGGCGAGTATATCGTACTCGATTTTCGAGATATCGTCACGGCATTCCACGTTTCGTCTTTGTTAACGATACCGCAGGAAGGTACACATTTGAATATAAAAAAGTGCCCTCCTCTTTTTTCTTCTTTCTTTTTTTTCTTTTTTTTTTTTGTACTTTGTAACACGCGTAACAAAGGATGGTAATATATGCATACGTGCGTGCACGGAAAGGGATGAATGTATAATGTAGGATGTAAACGTGATGATAAAAAAGCGAGGCATTCGAACTTGTTGAAAATTCGAGAAGTAATAATTCAATTGAAAGATGAGAAGTCTATAAGATGAAGAAAAAAATATTTAAATAAATAAATAAATAAATATATATATATACACATATAAATATATAAATATAAATAAGAATTTATTCCGTAGATAAAGATTCATTTAAAATGATATAAAATTATGTTTCGATTGATTTCGTGTATAGTTTTTGGGATTACATGGATTAATAATAAAAAGAAAAAACAAGAAAAAAATTTGCACTTCAGATAAGATTTTTCTCTATTTATTCATTTATTACTGATCTCGAGAGAAAAAACAAAGAAATAATAAAAGAAAAGATAAGAAAAAAAAAAAAAAGAAAAAAAAAGAGAAACAAGAAGGAAAAGAAGAAAACAAAAATTCTGCAAGATCTTCGCTCGTTATTATGAACTATCGAGATAACTAGGAAAGGATAAAGTCAAGTAAGAAAAATTCTCTCTATGATATATGCTTCATCGAACCGTGATAATCGTGATAGATAAGATTTGCGATATCAGTGTCGAATATCGGTTTCACTTGGAAGATCCGACGTTGAACGTATTACCCTTGATACGGTACTCTGCTAACCCTTCAATGAATTCAAATGGATTCCACTATCGCATACGCTTGAAAGCGACTTACCTATTTACATACATACATAATACGAGCTCTTTGTGATTATAAACGGGAACTTTGATTTCATTCGATCGCGATGTACCAATTTCAGAAAGAGAAAGAGGGAGAAAGATAGAAAAAGAGAGAGAGAGAGAGAGAGAGAGAGAGAGAGAGAGAAAGAGAAAGAGAGAGAAAGAAAGAGTTCGAAACACTTCAATGTAGTTATCTTGACCCTTTATTTTTTATCTTATAGGAAGATCGTAGAAATATCGATAAATGTTGAAAGTTCGAACGATAAAAGAGACCTACACTACGGTTGTTATCTTTCAACATTTTGTTTTTACGTTCCTTAAAAGGGTACTTTTCACGTTGATATAAAAGTCGATCGATAAATACGTTTGAGATTTCGATAGAGATTTTTATCGAAGGGGACAAATATCTTCTTTCCTTCCTTCCTTTTTCCGTTTTTCTTTTGAAAGTTGAACACGCAAGAACCTTTTCGATGTTCGATCGTAATTCTTTTCTCTCTTTCTTTTTCATTTCTCTCTCTCTCTCTCTCTTTTTCTCTTTCTTTCTCTCTTTTTTTCTTTTTCTCTTTAGTTAAAGAGAAGAAATATTTAAAACGCACGAGACATTGCCGCTGGGGAACGATAAACGTTCGAGTAACGAGCTTAAGTCGTTGTATCGGCCGTACCTTCCCGATTAAATTTTCGAGGGAGAAAATTAAATCACACGGAAGGCAACGGGGTTTCCTTCCTTAAGGGGGTTGAGTGTTGAAACTGTCGTGAAAATGGGACGAGTAAAAACTTACTATGATCACCTATAGATAATTTGTTCATTAAATGACAGTAGAGTGTAATACTTTGTATCAAATCATCGTTGAATTTAATATAATGCAATTAATAATTAATTATCTAAGGTGAAAAAGAAAAAACAAAAAAAAAAAAAAGAAAGAAAAACAAAAGAAATAAAAGAAAAGGAACAAAATTTAAAGAGTAATTATTAAAGATTAATTATATATTAAAGTATAATTGTGTATTAAAGAGTTATTATTAATTATTAACGATTTAATAATCAATTAGAAAATATTATACTGACCGTAGAATAAATCGTAGAAATAAAGTTTAACGTTACGTTATAAATGACATAGTGGGAATTAATAAATGAGCTACAAGAAAATTTTAAGAAGAAAGGTAGAATAATGGGTGGACATTGGCCGTACGTAGAAAAAAAGAAACGTGGGTGAAATAAAAGAAAAGAGGTAGATAGAAAAAGAGAAAAATGTGGATGTAAAAGGTAGAGAAAAAGTGGGCGAAGGCGGAAGAAGCGGAGAGTGGTTTAATTAAATCGATATTAGGCGCAGCCGCAAGCAAGCCTTTCCAGTATCTGCCGGTAGTCTGACAATGTGAAAATTATGCAGAACGAATGCAAATTAGAAGAAACGAATTCGTTCTTCGATTAGCATCGCGAGGAGAAATTC